CTTTGCTCGCCGTTCTGAAGTCTCTAATTTTATTTTAGCTATTGCATTTCCTATTTAATGTGTATTTTAAAAAAGACTTGAGACTTTTAATATACTAAATACATATCCACTCCCATCTAGCATCCCTTCAATATAAAAAGAAGTCGTCTCATTTTACACTACCTATTACGTGTATTTTTATAAACAAATAGTTCTCTATAATTTTATACAGCAGAGCAGACTGCATCCACTTTCCTGTTTACAGCTTCCCTTTTCATGCAGTCGATAAAGTTGGAATCAAGCCAGCTCTCCAGTACGAGATATTAAACTACGGATGAAACCCTGAGAGACCTTCAGTTCATCTGCTGCTCAGATACCACCCAACCTGAAAGAATTTGGTGCCATCTAAAGGCAGAGTGTGTAAGCTACTTCTAAAAGGAAAGGATGCTGTACTGTATCTAAATAACTGCATGCCTACCCTTTACAATATGTGTAGTGTTGCTTTTCAAAATAAGCAACCTTTTTACACAAAGAAAAAGAGATAGAGTCAGCAAAAGAAATGAACATTGTGAAGCAAAAATAATAGAAATATAGTTAAATCCTGTAATTATATCCACCTCATGGAAGCCAGTTTGGTGTAAGGGTGATGGTACCAGACTAGAAAGCGGGAGTCTGTGCATTCTAGCCCTACTGTAGCCATAAAAGCCAGTTGGGTGACCTTAGGCCAATCATCTTCTCTCAGTCCAACCACCTCACAAGGTTGTTACTGTGGGAAAATAGGAGGAGAAAGGTGTGTTGGATATGTTTGCCGCCTTGAGTTATTTGTAAAAATAATAAAGGCAGAATACAAACAAAGAAAAAAGTAAATAAAATCACCCTGCCTTTGGCACTGACCTTGATGGCCTTTCAGGAGGACCTGGCCCTTCAGGCTTTTCCATCTGCCTGGCCAGGAAATCAGAGTGATATGAAGCTCATAAAATGGCTGTATTCTTTTTGAATGACTGTGCTATCCCTGGTGACTGTACATGTAGTCCTCGACTTACAACAGTTATCACGGCACCAAAAAAGGTGACTTATGATCTTTTTTCACACTTACAACCTTTGCAGCATCCCCGTGGTCACATGATCAAAAATCGTATGTTTGACAACTGATTCATATTCATGATGGTTGCAGTGTTCACCCTTTGAAACCTTCTGACAAGCAAAGTCAATGGGGAAGCCACATTCACCTCACAACCGTATTACTAACTGAACAATTGCCATGATTCAGTTAACCGTGGTTAAGAAGTCATAAAATGGGACAAAACTCACTTAACAAATGTCTCATTTAGCAATATAAATTTTGGGCTCAATTGGTTGAGGACTACCCGTACTGTATAGTTTTTAATTATTTTAAATTATATTGCTGGTTTGGCTGCTTTATTTTGTGATGTTTTGTTATTGCTCGTTTTGATTGTAAGCCACCCAGTCACGAATGTGTGATTAGTAGCCACATTAGTTGATTGATTGAATAAATAAATCCAGTTTAAACCAGCATTATTATTCTGCTGCATACCTTTAAATCCCTGCAAATTATTCTTGCTTCCATCCATCATGTTTCTTTCTGCTTCCTACACTGTCTTTTTTCTCTTTAATTTTCACTGTTTTTCATAATCTCAGGGCTTTCATAAATCACAACAAACATAGTCTTCCCCTTCCTGATCTCTTTGCTTTTTTGTGTGATTTGAAACTACCCCCAATCTACTTCTTTTTTAGCCCTAATTTATTCATTCAGTCAGTCCCCATACACTCTGGACTTAATCTCTTCTTGTTTAACCACATGCCCTTCTTAAGTATCCCATTCCAGCTGCATTCAATTTGCAATTATATATTTGTTGGCAACCAGTTTGATGTTGGGGTTAATAAGTTCCCTTACGCATGGAAAGCCTACTAGGTTACTTGGGCCAGTCACTCTCTCTCAGCCAATCCACCTCACAGGGTTGTTATTGTGGGGAAAATAGAAGGCGAGAAATTGTGTATTGTAAACCAAAGAAATCAATATTTAGCTGACATGTCCAACACTCACTGCATATAATAAAATGGGCAGAAACAAGGCTATTTCTTTCAACAAATATTTTTTAAAGAGGCCATATTACCTGCTACTTTACCAGCAGAATGTCTTATGTTAAAACATTCTACCAACATAAGCACATTCCCAAGAAAAGGGGGAGGCTCTGCCATTTATTTATGACTTGGAATCATACTCTCCATTTTCCCTGTCAAACATAACTGCTTGGGAGTTTGATACAATAATTTTCAGATCTCTATCCCTTGTTGCATCATATAATCTACCTAACATTTGCTGCAAACCATTTGGGTTCTCTACATACAAAGTACACTTACCTTCACATTCACAACTAATATGCCTTTAACATAACCACAACAAGCATCCCTTATACCGTACATTGTCAGCCATTCAGCCATGTCTGACCCTCGGCGACTCTATAGCTCAGCACTTTAAAAAACCCCAGAGGACATCGTACATCCCTTATCCTTATGTCTGCTTTATTTTGTATTTAGAAATCAACCTTCAACTCAGTTTCATCTGCAGGAAATAATTATGATGTGGTGATGCTTACAATTCTCTCATGATACCAAGAAGTTAAGTCTTGGTATTTGAGTAATGACATCCTTGTGCACATTCTGTCATTTGTCCTCTTTGTATCTGCCCATATTTAGCCTGTTGAAAAGCAAAACTTACATAGCATAAAGCCCCATTGCACTTTGTAAATTTTGCTCCTTGTGGCCTGTGCTACTCACTCCATTAGAATTCTGCCAAATGCCTTCCTAAGGCATTAAATTAGACAAACTAACCCATCTGTGGTTTTTACATTCCCTCACTTCATCTTGTCCTTTTTGGTGGAAAACAGTAACTGTATTCTTTTCCGGTCCTGAGGCATGGATGAAAGCTTTACACCCGATCATGCAGTCTTTCCACAAGTTTGTGGAAGTGTTACGTGAACGTTAACAAACTTTAACATTTCTTCAGTTATATGTTTTTTGCTTTTCTGTCAGACTTCACCTGATAGGCACTCAGGAATCAAATACATAAGGATACCAGGACTCATGAACTGCAGTTAAATTAGTTTATTGTACAAGAAACAGTAATGTAATTACAAAATAATTTTGGCAATTGCTGTTTTCCCCCCCCAAACCAGCCCCAATATTTAGGTACTCACTGATTTATCTTGATTGTCCTCCACTACCTTCAATCAACTGATGTACTGCGGCTCCTTTTTAGCAGGAGGCCCAGTTTCTATCTGTCGTTTAAATAATATAGAGTCGGGATGTGAGATTTCTCTTTCATTCTGTGAGAACTGCTTCTTACACCTGCAGCCTCACCAATATTCTGCACCAATTCTTTCTGGGACACAAACTGTTTTTGTATTATTTCAATTTCTTGGACAAACCATGTTTAAATCATGGCCAGTGTGATGACATTCTTAAGTTGAGTCATAAAGGTGCATTGATGACGGCAGGCATAGCTGTGAGGATAACTAGACTATTTTTCCTTTGGTTATATACTGTTTATTAATTACTATTATTAAAAAAGCAGCTCAGCTAATGGAGTATTTTGCCAATGCCTATATAATAATGGCTATCCTAAAATAACCAATTTTAAATTAATCACCATAGTAGAATAATAGCAACTAAGCTAATACTTAATATTTTCAAAAATTGTTTACTATAATATTATGCTACCTAATATACCAGATAAAATGTCTGGAAAAAATATACCAGATAAAAATCTGGAAAAAAGTTCTGAGAATGGTCTGTACAATTTCGATCTTAGATACAATTACTATTTTAAAAAAAATCACAAGTTCTTTATAAAAAATGAAAATATACTTTACAAAATCAATACATTGTAATGATGATTCGTAGTCCATTTCTATCTTTAAATAATTATCTACATTAAATCTATAATTTGATTTAACTTTCATTTAATGAATATAATCCCAATACCTGAATTTAACAGTTTATGGTTTTTCTTTATAAGAGTGAGTTAGATGCCAAGGAAGTATGGATGGCAAAACTGAACACTGTCCTGCCTCCTTCCCTTCTTCTCTGAAGGAATACTTAATATATATTTTATTTTTAAAGCATGTTTGTTAAAAAATATATTTAACAAATATATATAGTATAAGACCCTCAGGTAACTGCTTTGATTAGTGTGAAAGAATTTCCATCACACCTGATTGCAAAAGGTAGATTATAAATTCATAGTATAGTGGCCTGGGAGTAAATTTCCCAAACTGTAGTATACGTTCACTGCTATTTATTTATATTCATATTAAGAGATCCCATCCCAGGTCCCCTTCCAGAGAACTAAAATACTCAGAGTTTCCTCTAAGGGAAAATGCCTTTAGGTTAAATAAAGTTAACTGTAGCGACTCCTCACAGTGTTAAAAGCGATCCAATAAACTCTGCTTCTTAACACGAAGCAGGATCATAAATCCCAGAGTCCTTACAGCTCAAGCTATGTTTGCTTAGCTGCTATTTAATAACAACAGCATTTAGGCTTACATACTTTACATGCTTTACAGCAGGGGTCCCCAACCACCGGGCCCCGGACCGGTACCGGTCCGTAGATCATTTTCTACCGGGCCGCCGGTTTGCTGGGTGCCGCCATCTTGTTTCGACAGAAAGTGCTTCCGGGTGAGCTTTTCTGGTTGGAAAGCGGCGTTTGGGTCTTGAAGGAATCCTCGCGCCTTAGTTTCATTGAAGTGGGGGGGGGGCGGCTTCGAACGAAGAGCCGTCCCGATGGCGGAGGAGATCAAAAAAGCACAAAAAAGGTACAAAGGAGGAGTTGAAGGTGGCGGGGAGAAGCGGGGACTGGCTGGCTGGCCGGTCGCTCGGCTCGCCTTGCCTTGTCATGCGTGCTGATGCCGGTACAGGGCCGCGGATCATTTTGTGATGCCGGTACCGGGCCGTGGCACAAAAAAGGTTGGGGGCCACTGTTTTATTTGCATATTGACCCCAACAATCTGGAAGGATGGAAGGCTGAGTCAACCTTGAGCCCCGTCAGGATTGAACTCCAAGCTATGGGCAGAGTTTGCCTGCAATACTGCACTTTAACCACTGCACCATCAAGGCTTCTGGTCTGTGCCTTGCAAAAATTGTGCTTATCCAGAAAACAGCAGCAAGAAATCTTGAGCTGTACCCCATACTAAACACAAAGGGTACTTAAACAGGGATTATTCAATGGTCCCGATACGTATTGATGATACACATTACCCACAGAAGAAAAATGATACACCAGGAACAATTAAAGAAATCCTTTCCCTACTGCGCACCCAGCATGAGAAGTGAAAATTTTATAGATGCATCCGGCATGGAAAAGCAGGAGGTCAAAAAGCATGACATTTCTAGCATTCTTATCCTAGGCTGTCATACTGCTGCCCTAAACATTTGATTGGCCCATTTTAAAAAATTAAGAACCTTATCTTTCCTCAGTTAGAGACTGCCTTCTTCTTCCCCTCATACACAGGCAAATGCTCCCCACTCAGGGGTGGGATCCGACAGGGTTAACTACCAGTTCGGTCATTTACGAGGTTCGGTGATTTACGATGTGCTTCCCTGCAGCTGCCCCGGCACTTGCCTGTAAATTGTCATCAGCATGCTGCGTGCAGAGAAGCAGCCTTTCCAAAAGCCCTTTTTTTCCTGCTTTTTTTAACTGCAGCTGTGCCTCGCATGGCAGCTGAAGTTGAAAAATCAGGAAATAAAGGTCAGGTAAGAGCCTGGGTGGGCGGATGGGCAAAAACCTCAGCAGACATAGAACTGGTTCTATGTCTGCTGCTCTTCAGAGCTACCGGTTCTACAGAGGTGGACAGAACCAGTAGAAACCCACCCCTGCTCCCACTAATTTGTACTGATGTGTTTTAGAAAGTATATGTCGCATTTGCTAGTGTGACCATCACAGCCTCGAGATGCTTGTGGCAGACGTAGGCTATAAGCCCTCCTTGATTTGCCCAGCGCTCAGCACCCACAGCGCCCTCTATGGGCTTGTTATAGGTCAGTTCGGGCAAATTCTTGTGTTGCCCAGCACGCCAAACCTTCAGGGCTGCTGAAAGATCGATGATGCCTCCCCCGAGGGCTCGCAGAATGGCGTGGGGCCCACACGAGTCCCACTTGAAGGTGCTGCCTTCGGAAAGCACGTAAGCATCGGCAAGGCCCAGGGCGACACAGAGCATCTTGTAGCCAGCACCTGAAGCAAAGCAGAGCCTCTCACCGTATAGAGGGGCCAGCGCTTTCTGCAACACAGTGGTCTCATTGCTGCTCAGCACCACGCAGGAGGAAGGCTGGTGCCGGGGTTGGCTCAGCGAGCTTAGCTTGGTGCTTCCATAGGAAATGCCCCAGTGGTATTTGCTCTGCCACCTGCCAAAGAGAGAAGGTCAGGGTAGCTTTGCTAAGAAAAGCGCCCACCATTATACAACACTAAGAAGACAGAGGTGAATCTACCTCACAGGATTCCTACTGTGGGGAAAGTAGGAGGCAGGAGTATTATAAAGAAAGCAAAGCTAGGTATCAACAATAATAAGCTTTTGGGGTGTAACCACAAAACAAATGGAGCACCATTGGAAGACTATCAGCGCTGACAAAAATCACCATTGGTCAATTGCAAAAGGCAGCTTTGTTTGGAACAGCTTACATCCTGTGACAATATTTTTAACACCATCAAATAACATCTCCCTATGCCAGGTCCGTGGGAAGGCCTTGATAGGTGGATAAAAATGTCAAATCCAGTCTTAACATCTGGCTGGCTGTGCGACCAGCCATAATGATTTTACTGTTTTGAGAAAAAGCCATGAGGGAGTTGAAGAAGGTGACCAAGGTGGCAGTCAATATTGCACAAGGATAGGAAGAAGCATGGAAGGAACAATGCTGCTGTTTAGTTTTGAAAAGGGAAGCTGGGACAGAAAGGCAAAGAAAAGGGAACATTACAGGAACCACTCAGTAAACTATTTTCATACCGTCACTGATTTTGTGGCAGAAGCATTGCTTCTTCCAATCACTGCATTATCCTTGTGCAATACAGTATTGACTTCAGTCATTTTCTTCAATTCCCTCAAGGCTTTTTCTCAAAACAGTAAAATTATTATGGTTGGTTGCACGGTCAGCCAGATGTTAAGATTAGATTTAGAATTTTTAATATGCTATACCTGTGACAAAGTCTGGGCTGCTCCTTAGGTATAACAAAATGCAGATTTTTTTAAAAGCTCAGAGAAGCCCAAAGAAGAATGTTCATTTGAGCTCTTCTTTCTTTCTTTCTTTCCCATCTTTCTTTCCTTCTTTTCTTTCTTTCTTTCTTCACTGCATCTTACACCAATATAACTTTTGTATCCATTGTTTTATGCTCACTGAAGTCAGTGGCCCAAGAGTATATATTGTAAGCAATATGAAATACTGTTATACTTCCTGGGATTACATTTTGATTCGACTCCCTTAAATAAAAAATATTGATTCATCTGATCATTTCAAACAGGGGCTCGTTCTCTGGATAAGTCCATCTTATAGAAATAAGTCCATTGCCCCTCTAAAGTCTGTGATTGGAGGTCCTCCCTTGGCAGGCAGGTGCTAGATCAGCAGGCAACTCAAGGGCAATATGAGTGAAAAGAAACAGCTCCAGAACAACCATGTAAATTTGTACCAAGCCTGTGTCAGCCATATAAGGTAGATCAGACTAAGGAACCAATGCCACATAGGACTACTTTTATTGTCACAGCTATAGCAAGAACATTTCAATATGCCCCCCCCCACCTTTTATCTTTGTATGAAATATGGAGGGACATGTGTGAAGCATTTTCTCAACTTAGTTTCTCAAAATAGGCTCAAGCTGCACTTGTCTGATTGTTGTCTTGGTAGCAGTTCTTCCTCTATCCTTCAAGTCATTCCTGAGGCCAGAGGTGGGCAACTATGGCCCTTTATGAACAATGGACTTCAACTCCCAGAATTCCTGGACTTCTTCAGGAATTCTGGGTGTTGAAGTCCACAATTTGTAAAGAGCCCACAGTTGCCCATCTGTGCCCTAGGCCCTCTTCAGCCTGCTTCATCTTTCATCTCCATTCATGTTGATGTACCATAAAAAGAAGGGGAGAAATCGACTTCGGGTTTGGGCTTCTTTGGTGACGGACCGAAATCGCAATTGTCCGCGGTTTTGATCCATGCTCGCCGCTGGAGTGCCCCGAGTCGCCCGGATTCGGGGCTGAAGCCACCCGTAGAGGTGGTGAAGAAGGGGGAGCTGTCAGTGGGGTTGAGGAGAGCCGTATCTCTCCTCCTCGGCTGGCCATTACTCCCTTTCCCAAAGGCGGTTGCAGCGGTGGTCAGAAATGGCCACCTCAAAGAAGAACCCGACCGGACAAGATTGTGCAGGAGGAAGTTTAAAGGAGAAAGTTTGACTGACCGGGTTGAATGGAGAACATCTATTTAAGGTACCTGGAACTTGAATTTTAAAGACTAATACTATTCCTAAAAAAGATCTTAAGCTGCGAAAGAGAAAGGGAAAGGAAACGGAATTGGCTTTTTTTCCTCTAACATCGACAGTTTTCACTGACTTGGAACATTAAGAAGAAGAGATTCCAATAAGAAATTGATACTAATCCATTTTGACCTTAATAGGCTATTTCTAGCTGAAAATAAAGTGTCAAAGGGATAAAGATTCTTGGATAATTTAAAAACTTTCTTTAAAAAAAAAAGAAAGAAAGCAGCGAAGAGAAAAATGAAAAAAGAGGGTGGAATCTGGAAAATGGAGGAGACTACCTGGAACTTAAAAAAAATTGATCATGGAATTTTAACAAGGCTTGCAAAAGATACATTGTACCTGAAACTTTGTTACAAGAGAACAAAGCCCCTGGAAAGAGAAAGTGAGAAAAGAAGCAAGAAACAGTTTTGGATTATTGGATGATTCCTGGAACTTTGGATGGAGGATCCTAATGAAATAAAATAAAATCAACTGGGGGTTGTTTAAAAATCTTTAAAATGGCATCACTCCTTGAAGAGTTAAAAATGAGACTTAAAGAACAAAAAGAAGCACAAGATGGAAGAGGTTCTTTTGGCTTCGTATTTCAATTTTTAGAAATGGAAATCTGGAACTATGAAAAACAACAAGAAACGCTGGCAGAACAAGAAGGGTGGGACAACGAAGAAGCCATCATCAATGACCAAGCAATTTTAAGAGGGGTAAAAAAGGGAAAGGGGGGAAAGGGAGTTAAAAACTCCCCAAAAAAGCAACAACCAAAAAAAAAGTAATTTGAAAAGTAATCATAATATCAGGAAGAAGCAGAAGGGAGGATTGCAGAAGGGAGAATCAGATAGAAAAGGGAATAAAAAGGGGAGGGAGAAGAAGAGAGGGAAGAGGGAAAGGAAAAGAAGCTACAAAAGACAGAAACAGGATATAGAGGTACAGGAAAAACGTACAAGAATTAAAGGTATAAGCCTATTTAAAAGACACAGAGACAATGGTTAAAATTTAACTTAAGGAGAGGATTCTGTAAAGGTGCATGGGATAGCATTGTTATATAATATGTTAGATGATTAAAGTGATAGAAAAAATTTATATTGATGTGTAGTGGAATATTTGTTTGTAAAGAGAATATATTGGCTCTCAATGATTTAAAAAGAACGTTTAAAAAAACTGAAAAGAAACATGGAAGATTTTTATCAGTTGATAAGGTGAACTTGAATAATAATAATAACTTTATTGACTACTGTTAATAACTATTGTTTGGTTTTTTATTTAAAGACAGTAATAAATAAAATATGAAATATAGATGATTAAAGTGAAAGACAACTGATATTACTAGATAATGTTTGTTAAAAGAAATAGAAATGTAAAAGATTGTTATTAATATTAATGGCAGAGCTGTACTTGAATAGAATAATTATTCCATTTACTATTGTTATACATATATACACAGATATATATATACATATATACTTTTTTCTTTTAAGAATTTAGTGTTTATTTTAAGGGAATGTACCAAGCAGAATTCAATTGAAAATAGGTATGTGTTATAAAATAGAGGTTAGAAAATGAATGTTTTAACTGTAAATATGTAACTTAAATTTTTAAATAAGATTTGAAAAAAGATACAAAGGTGTTACACTCCAGTCAAGTAATTACAGGAGAAAATTTGTTTTATGAGAAAAGATAATATGAAATTGTAAACAGGACAGACGAAAGTATAAAAACATTGATTAGAAAGATTTTAAAAATTAGAAAAAGATATGTAATTGAATTAAGAAAGGAATGAGATAATTTAAAATAAGGCTATAGGAAGTAAAGAAAGGGAAAAGCTATTGAAAAAATTGTGAAAATAGTTATAAGATATGGATTAGAATGTATAAGATAAATATGTATTGAGTTTATGTCTGTATGGAGAAGTGATAACCCGGGGCCACGCTGTTCTCAAAAAAAGATATTTTATTTGTATTTGCATGTTTTCATAATTCATAATTGGTGGGAGAACCAACCTGTAGGGAAGATTTCCCACAATGCTATTGTTCCATGTAGGAAAGATTGACCCACGGTGTCACTGTTACCTGTGTGTTGCCAGCTCCTCCTGAAAGAAAGGCTCATTGATGATGCCAAGGACAGGCTCTCCCGAATGACGATTGTATACTCCTATCAGCACAAGCGCTGAGTGAAGTCCAGATGGATAGATGCCATTCACAGGCATCACACTGCCACACCCACGAATGTACTGATTAGTGGAATCTGAAAAGAAAAAAGTAAGAAAGGGAGAATTCCTTCATTCCTTCAGCAAGACTCAGCATCGGAACAATAGATGTCAGAGTGCTCCCCACTAGAACAGACTTTAAAAATATTATCAACTCTATTACTCATCAATGTACTGTATACGGGATACAGGCTAGGAAAAAACTCCCAGAAAGACAGGGGAATATCACTATTGGAAAGGAACATGACTGGATGTGATAGTGCTCAACTCTCTTTTATATAATCCAGTCCATACCACATACAGACAGTCCTCAACTTACAACAAGTTCATTTAGTGACCCTTCAAAATTATAAAGGCACTGAAAAAGTGACTGTTTTTCATGCTTATGACGGTTGCAGCATCCCCACTGTCAAATGATCAAAATTCGGAGGCTTGGCAATCGACTCATATTTATGATAGTGTCCTGGGGTCATGTGATCACATTTTGCGACATTCTGACAAGCAAAATCAAAGGGGAAGCTAGATCCACTTAACAACCAGGTTACTAACTTAACAACTGCAGTGATTCAGTTAACAATTGTGGCAAGAAAGATTCTAAAACAGGGCAAAATTAACTTAACAACAGCATCGCCTAGCAATAGAAATGCTGGGCTCGATTGTCATGTCATGTGGCCGGCATGACTAAATGCCGAAGGTGCATGGAATGCTGTTACCTTCCCACCAAGGTGGTCCCTATTTTTCTACTTACATTTTTATATGCTTTAGAACTGCTAGGTTGGCAGAAGCTGGGACAAGTAATGGGAGCTCACTCCGTTACGCGGTGCTAGGGATTCGAACCGCCCAACTGCTGACTTTTCTGGTCGACAAGCTCAGCGTCTTACTCACTGAGCCACCGCGTCCCTTGTGGTTGTAAGTAGACGACTACTTGTAGACAAAACTCAGCACTAGAGAAAGACTGTATGTAAATGGCTTCCGGTGCCCAACTTTCATCCGCCATTCTATTTACCTATGGGGTCAATCCATACAGCCAAGCTCTCTGTGGAGATGGTCACATCCACATTGTCCAGTGCTGGGTCTGAAAGCACTATTTCCTGATGAACAGCGGATGCCAACAATTCAGCTGCCATCTGTTTCCGATCCAGAACTTTCTGCAGCAGGGCAGCAGTTTCCTGTTGGGTGGGGCAAACCCGCACCACTACAATCTCACCTGCAAAGGCAAATAAAGTTCAGAGACTGTTCAAGAGGGCCCCTCTACTGATCGAGAGACTTTTCACATTTATTCCCAGAATCTTATATATTAGTCAAGCAATCAGAATTATTTTAATGCCCGCACTTCTTAAGACCATTCTGGGAAGAACCCTTAAGTTTCATTAGAAGCTTATCAGAGGCTCTCTAAGAAGGCCCATAATGATGGAGAAGTTTCCTTGAGATACAGCTTGTCCTTTTCCACCACAGTCTGTGCTACGACAGCCCATACTGTAGTAAGTGTGCGAAAAGATAGAAGATGGGATGAGATGTAGGATAAATGTTTTAGCCAGTCAATTTCAAGTTACAACTGAATTAAACAGTAATGCAGCCCAACGTAGGAGAAGGACAGCCAGAGCCTGGGGTGGAGTTGAGAGGAATCAACTTGGAGTAGTTAAATTTCCCCAAGCAGTCTAAGTCCTCTTGAATTCTTATCTAGCACCAATTTAGTGCTGATGGTTAGTTGACTAGATTCTTGTGTATAAGCAAGAGCAATAAATCAGCTGAACTGGAATTTAATGTGTGGTCCTGATTCTTCGCACCTGACACCCAGGATGGTTTATATCAATAATATTTATCTTTAGGTTGTTGTTTTTTGAGATGTGACTTAAAAAAAGAACAAGAAATGGGATACTCAGATGTAACAGCATGTAGAATTTCTGCTCTTCTGACAAACGCTTAAAAGAAGGGAGGTGCAGTATTTCTTGGCAGTAAAAAAGACTAATCTGTTGATAATTTCCTCTGCTGCAGAGCAATGTTAAAACCTACAGAAGCCTTGTCCTTTTTTGCCCTTATAGGGCAAAAATTGCAGCTTGGCACACTCTAAAATATTACCTTACCACTAACAATTGCCCCACCCAATACAGACATTAGGCATATTCTCTGTGAGTAAACAATGGACGTTGTAGCAGTTTAATTCATGTGAACATCCTTAACATGAAGAAAACTGTCTTAGAAAGAAAAATAAGGAAATGGCCATGATTTAGAAGGAAAAAAAAATCCTGGCACCAGGCATTTGATTGTATATTTATATGACAGTGAGAATTTTGGGACATGTTCCTCCTTCATATGAAGCTCCAATAAGTCTAGTCAGTGCTCTTCCTGAAATGGGAAGTCTCTCTGCCATTTTCTGGGATTCTTATAAAGAGCAAGAGATCTTTGCAGGGACAAAGCTTGCAAAAGGCCATCAGAGTAAACCTAGGACAGGTGACGGAAATATTTCTCTGAAGAAAATGGAGCTGAGAGAAAGAGAATGACTTGATTACTCAAAAAGAGGACCAAGCATGTCAGAAGGGCAACCTGGCTTTATCTAGCTCCCAAGAGAGGTAATGGGGCAAGGACACACAAAATTCTTAGCCAATGTTCCAGGAGGAAATTTTAATCCCACCCATTTGGAAGGAGTCCATTTGGGGGAAGTTTATTTTAGAGAATATGTTGGCATTTCCTCCTCCCTGTGCTGATTACTCACCAAGGCCATTTTCAAATTTGTTGGACTCCTCGCCACGAATGTGATCTTGTAGTTCTGGAAACTGTGAACAACAGTGAGAAAGGGTAAGGAAAGAAAAGTGGAACTGAAGGGAGGAAGACGAAAGTATACTCTAACCTAGCTGACAAGCCTGATCCAAGTTACAGCTATTCTGGGTTCAATGATTCTGCTGTGTCCTGTTTCAGGTTGATCCTCTGGATGAGAAGGAGACAGCTGCCTGTCACCTCAGTCCCAGGCAGTTTGGAGTACCACTCCTGGCACCTTACTTCAGAGTGAGCGAGGACTGAAGAATTAACAATCTTGACTGTAGCCATTGTAGTTCAACCACGAATTTAATATTCTCCTAAGCAAATCAGCATCTCTAAGTCTTTCCTGCCTCCACTGTGCTGTAAGAATAATAATGCAGGCCAACTTTACATGGCTTTCTGAGGAGTGAGAAATGATGTGTGAAGAGTTTGGGATACATGAGAACAGCTATTGCACTCAACCGCAAACAACTGAATATACAGTATTATTCAAATGGGTGATAGATCAAGGTCCGTTCTCAGTTCCTATCTGCTCCTACTTTTGCAAATGCAATAGGTTTAGCCATTGCTTTCTGTTGCTATTTGTCTTTAGAATATAACACGTTAGAATATAAGAGTTTAGAGCAAGGGTTTTCAAACTTGGCAAGTTTTAAGACTTGTGGACTTCAACTCCCAGAATTCCTGAGCTAACATGAGTGGAGGAGGAATTCTGGGAGTTGAAGTCCACAAGTCTTAAACTTGCCAAGTTTGAAGACCCCTGGTTTAGAGAAAGTAGAAAAGCCCCTTTGATTGACACTGGAGAAGGAAAGTGCTTAAAGCCTCTAGGACAGGAGTCGCCAACCTTTTGGACCTCAGGGACCACCAAACTCATAATTTTAGATCCCAGGGACCACTAACTGGTTTTGTGGGCGTGGCCTAGTTTGTGGGTGTGGCTTGGTGGTCATGTGACTGGCTAGGCATGGCTTGTATGTAAATATTATATTTATATAAATATTGAATTTTTTATAAAAAAGAGCAACTTTTACCCAAAATCAGGCAAAGCAGGCAGATTGAGTTGCTCACAGAATCATTCATTGATCTATCTATCTACCATCGGCTACCCGAGTCTGTCACATAAAATTTGCTTGCTGTGAGTCTGCAGTGAGTAATAGAACCTTCAGTCCTAAGAGAGGTTCGGCTGTGCTTAAAAGCAGAGCCGAAGATCTAAAGACTAGCTAGAAAGCAAGAAATCCAACAATTTCCTGCTTCCTAGCTAATCTAAATCTTCCGGCACAGCAGAACAGATGATGGTGGGAAAAAGGAAAAATAGCAATTTAGCAGGCAAGTTTACCGGGTAAGGAGTGAGTGGGCAGGGAGGGTTCGCGTGTAGCCTGGATTAATTGCTTTGTGGGGGTGCTCTGGGGGTGAGATTTCTCTGCGGCCCACCAAAATTTTCTCATGGCCCACCAGTGGGCCGCAGCCCACAGGTTGGCGACCGCTGCTCTAGGATACAGCCCATTCTTCATCTTATTTTGTTTCTCACTACATAGAGAACTCTTCTCCAAGCAGTTACCTCTTTTCCCACGTCATGTTTGATGACTTCTTGGATTAGCACGTCTGCCAATGTCTTAAAGTCCTGCAAGAACTTCTTATTCTTGTCTGCACCTCTCTTCTCCTCGATGAGCAGGCTGAAGAGTGTCTCCTCTTGGCGACATAGCTGGGCAATGCAGGCAGCTTTCTCTGAGGCAGCCAGAAGGCTCCTCAGAAGAGCTGTCATGCTCTAAAAAGAAAGGGAAAAAGTTCAGAGGGAAAATGCACAAAAAATGTTCACAGACAAAACCCTACATTAACTGAGGAACACTATGGGGGAGGCGGCAATGATTCTAAGAGCTTGTGTGCTGTAATGCTGGCATTACAATGGGAAATTGCATATCAAGTATCAGGCATTTCTTGTCACTATGTTAAAATTAATAAAAGAACAAATTATGTTAAGCTCCCCAGAGTCACCTGTGGTAAGATGGGTGGTCAATAAATTTTACAAACAAACAAAATATTTTAACTAGAATGAAGGGATCTAAAAGGTAGCAGCATCCAGCCCTTTTTGGCTGATCTTTTCCCCTGACCCCTAAAACCTGAAAAGGGTCAAACCTGCTTGGATTGAAAATTACCAGAAGATATTGGGGAAACTGGACAAGCATCCAGAAAAAAAAGTAGCGGTAGATCAATTTTGTACTGCTTCCAAGAACATAAATGTTATCACTATCACCATCAGGGTGTGGGAGTTTTTATTAATTAAACAGAAAAATCTTTGAAGTGAAATGTTGACAATTTCGTTTGTTGTTGGGGATAGTTGAGGTAATACATTTATTATTGATTTTGCCTTTATTTAGTGAATGCAAAATAAGAAAAAAATACAAAACAATTTTAGGAAAAAAGTTCCAAATGAAAATAAAGGAACAATAATAGATTCATATTGAAGAGCTCAGCTTCCCAGTTTGATGGGGAAGGAAGTAAGATTTACTGAGTATAGTAAAGTGATTTAGTTTTTGGTTACTGCATTTTTTTTCTAGGTTTGTAAATATATTATAGCAAAAAGAATCTACCTATTACAAAGAAGGGGACAGAAGAAATCTATTGTTAATCTCTGGATGATTTGCCCTCAGCTGGTAAGATTTTCTAAGCTCTGTTTAATAACTGCAGTTATATTGTCCTGTTTTTATCTTACAATATACAGCTGAAATGAAGAAAGATTGGAATAAATGCGAACTGATTTTTGCTGAGATTCAATTTTTTTTCCTGCTACTCAGGGTTCAAAATTCCTTAATTCAAAACTCATGGTTTTTCTACCTGACTCGATTGATGGGTTCCAAAAGTCTACATCTCAAATAAAAAGAAAAGAAGAAAGAAATGTCCTTCCACATTGCTTTTCCTGGCTATTGTACCCTGGATCATTCATTTCAGATTGCACAGACTTTTGTAGCTGCTAGTGTACTCAAGATAGGGTTATAGCCCATCCTTTAATACTGCTGGCTGGAGATTATAGCCCTTGAAGCCCGGGGGGGGGGGGGGGGGGCAAATTTAGGAAGCTGGTATTATGGCTTAACTCTGCATCCTCAGTTTTGACATTTATATTTATCTCCCCCGTCCTTTTCTCCCTAAGCAGCCCAAGGCTGTCATTGCCCTCAGTAACCATGTAAAGAAGGAAAGGCTATGGACAGTAACTAGCTGAAGGCCACCCACTTAGCTTCATGGCTGAGAATGAAAATCTGAATACTCTCTTTATTTCTACCTTGGTCTCTAGCCAGTACACAGCTACCACAAATTCCCGTAGGTCAATTTTTTAAAACTTGGTGTGGACAAACTACATGTTCATTAACCTCCTGTTGGAAGAAAAATCCAGGTCCACTTCCAAGCTGGGAATAAAATGGAGGCTAATTGGAAAGATTATATTTATTAGTGAACAGAACCAACACACACACACACAGAGTGTGCAGTTCTGGGACAGCTAACAAAATGGAGTTGAGAGTGGGTTGGTTTTAGAATAGAATAGAATAGAATAGAACAGAATAGAATAGAATAGAATAGTTTATTGGCCAAGTGTGATTGAACACACAAGGAATTTGTCTTGGTGTAAATACTCTCAGTATACATAAAGAAAAGATACATTCATTAAGAATCATAACGTACAACACTTAATGATAGTCATAGGGTACAACCAAATTTTATACCTTCTTTGGGTTTTGTATTTAAGATTCCTATTCCTGTGCAAGAACATGTCCTTTAATATTCTGTTGTCAGATTCCTTTAGGGTGATGGCTGGCTCTATAGGCAAAGGGGGAAATGCAATTCCTAGGTGTTTGCTAAATCTCCTCAACCTAACTGCTTATCTGGAGTTTCTGTCTGGACCAGTCTTTCTGAATGGATTACCAAATCTGCATTTGTAAATGCAGTTTCTGCTTGGGGCTGGTAGACTGCTGCTGGTTCCTGCCTCCCTTAAGATTCCCCCCTCCCATTTCTCCTTTAGGGGAAATATTCTACCAGGCCTTTTTAATATTCCCCAAAAGATTTCATTCTCTAGGAGGGTGGGCGGGCACTGACTTTCTATGCCCTCCCTCCCCAACTAAAACTACAATCTGGGGGGGGGGGGCACAACATTTTGGCACCAGAGGAAAGGACTGCATATACATCCCCCTCCCCTCCCTTAGGCCAAAGCTGACAGGGATCTTAGTTGTGGATGGTGCAAACAAAGAAAGGCCCACACAGTAATGGTCCTCCACCGCAGGAGACAAATAAGCAGCAGGGAAAAGGAGATTAGCGTCTGAAGGGCAACACGGCCTCCTAAAGCATCTTTGAGCAATCCTGCCTGGCCTTTTCGCGTGGATTTAGGCGAGCCAGCAAGCAGGAAACTACTTGAGAAGCCCGGCTCCCGGGATGCCAGAAAGGCGCGGAAGAGACTCCTTTTCCACGAGTTACCTTCTCTGCCTGAATCCACCCGTCCCCGCCCCAGCGCAGCGCCCCGCCACCTCTGCGTCTGGAGCAGAGAACACGCGCAACCCAGCAGACCCCACTCCCCGCATTCGGGGGGGGGGAATTAAGAGCGCCTTCCCTCCCCGGTACCGGAGACGGTAAATCAGTCAGCCCACGGGCCAGGCCACAATAACGCCACCTCTGCCAGCGCAGAAATTTACGAGCGCGTTGTTTTGCCCCGCTTGGCCGTCTCCGAGCCGGGTGGTGAAACGATCTGCCACTCAATGGGCGCCGACCCCAGTCCTTGACTCAGGCGTACGGTCAGCCGGGGATCGATCCTATAAAGCTCCGATCAGCCGGGGATCGATCCGAGGGTTGGGGGGGGGGACCAAACAACACACCTTTTCCTCTGCTTCCTCGCCGGACCGTCTTCTGGCTTGGGCTAGAGCTCGACGTAGTTTTAGTCACGTTCGTTCTGGAGCAAAAAGAGACTGAATGGTACAGCAAACTCAACCGGTCCGATTTGATGTCATTCTTTGTGCTCGTGGGCGTAGAAACTGGTGGCGGCGCAAAGCTCAGATTCACTCCTTTTTTTGCGTTTGTATTTCCTGATTCAATTCTATTTGCGACTCAAATCTTCACCGAAATACCTCAAGACGGAACCATCTCCCCTCCGCCGAAATGAAAGAGGCATTCAGTACGCCGATCTGTTGCATCGTGGATCAATCCACTACTGCTCTCATCCTGTAACACAGCCAAGCGCTTCCTCCTCTCACCCCAACGTAACTAGGCTAAAGACATAGGCTTTCATGCACTGCAGCTCATTTCATCAGATCCGAACGATGATCTACATCCATATAACAACATCTGATGAATTAAGATGCAGATCCGGAAAAAAAAAGTGATGTAATCCGATTTGTTAGTGCGCTATCAGTCTGTTTCAGGTCTGTTTAGCTACCATATACTACAAGGCTCACTATCTAGGCTGATAAGTAAGGAATTATCTAAAAAAGCAACCAGAGCCAGGCCTTCTGTTGGCCAAGACTCTTAAGTTAATTCTTTAATCTATTTCTCTGTCACGATATGGTGCACTGTTTGCAAAGTAGGTAACCTGCATATTTATTTTGGAGAAAGCTATCCTACCTGTATCGACATAGAAATCATTGCTCTTGTAAAAAGCTTCACTTGGATCTCTATTTATTTATTTATTTTTTATTTATTTATTTGATTTGTCAATTGTTTACAAGATAATAAGTATAAGTGTATACATAGTTGTGAATACATGAGATGGGTACATATAAGAAAAATAAAAGAATAGAGAAACAATAGGACAGGGACGGTAGGCACGTTGGTGCGCTTATGCACGCCCCCTATTTTCACAGGAATTTAATGGGGTAAGTGAGAAAGGAAGTGTCAGCAAAGATAGTGATTGTCAATCTAAATTTATGTGCAAATAGAAAAAGAATAAAAACATTGCTGGCAGCTATTTTTGGATGACAGCTACTGTATTATCTGACCTATCTAGATCAGAGATCTCCAAACTTGGCAACTTTAAGACTTGTGGATTTCAACTCCCAGAATTCCTCAGCCAGCTATGCTGGGAGTTGAAATCCACAAGTCTTAAAAGTTGCTAAGCTTGGGGACCCCTGATCTAGATGAGGGCTAGAGCTAAACATGCAGGGGACCAAGCAATCTATCCCTGATCGAGAATGACAAAAAGTTCCTTAATATACTTCCACAAACAGTTCCAACTATCTGAATATGGAAACTTTCCTGATAGCTTTTGGCACCCATTGAATAATAAAGCCTAAAAGTATCATAGCATTTTAAGAAACGAACTGTGAAGGACCTATACAAGCCAAGGCTGTGCTCCTATGCTCGTTGGTATCAAGAAGACCCTTCCTAGTGAATCTTTTTAATAGGACAGCTCTAAAAGGCAACAATACGCGTGCCTTTTCAATACGAGGTTTATATCGAATTCAAAACAAAGCAAAGTGTGAAAAATTCAATTTCTTTTCAAACGAGCTGGAAAAAGAAGTTGTGTTGACGCGGTTGTGGGCATCCCATTGTTTTAATGCAATTCTAATAAGCATCGAGAACCGTCATTACACAAGCAGTAAACGTTCCTTCTTTTTCCTCGTGTCCACTTCCGCTCACGTGATCGCCTTTATTGGCGGAACTGTGGGCAGTTGGGCTTCAAGGCGGAAGTTCAGCTTCATGCTGGGACGGCAACGGGCGTGTGGGGGAGGGGGGGTCGAAGCTGCCTCCCTTTCTCTGAGTTCGGCACGGGTAGGCAGCAACACCGTAATGGAGGCGGTAAGTGAAAGAGAATAGTGGAGCCTGGGGGGAAGAGTTTTATACTGGATAGTGTTTCTTTTGTGAGTCTCTTCTTTCTTAATGAGAACAAGCGGCATCCCAATATAGTATACGTTTTAGCGGGATTATTGGGGGGTTGGGTCCAGATAGGTATTATAAACTTAGCATTTATAATAGTAAATATATTGCTTTTGTACACTATAGCGTTGGATAGAGCTAGCAGATTAGCCCAGATTTTTCTGTAAGCGTTGATTGCATTTGAATGGTGGCCCGGTTTTTACAGCGCCTTCTAAAGTGGAGTATGATATACGTGTTTATATGTATGTTTATAAGTATGCTATAGTATTTATGTTACTTAAGATGGTTGGCTAAGATTTAGGTTTGATTCTAATCCTGGCAGCCCACTTGAGTAATTTGAGGTTACTGTAGTTAAGTGTCTCTCAGTCAAACCTTGTATTTTGGGGGAATTTCGTCTGGAGCTCCTTGATGAAAGGAAGGATGTCAGTCTAATAAATTATTTGAATGACCCCTTATTTTGGAAAAGTGACTAATGCCATCAAAAGATTTTGCCTTGCATTGGATGTCAGTTCTCAGCTGGAGCTTTGCAATAGTTTGATTTTTGAATTTCTTTGGGCAAGTCCTATTTTGAACAGGCCCTATAAAAAAAGAGAGCTTTATCTCTATGAGATCTCCAAAAGCCATATTGCATAAAAGAAAAACACATATAGATCTCCATTTATATTTCTGATTTTATAGCCATAATCTTAAGCCATGATCCTATATTATACATAATTATTAGAAAATATAATACTGTAAGTCAAAGTCACCCCATGGTATAAAGCAGTGGTCACCAACCAGTGGTCCATGGACTTAAAATTATGAATTTAGTGGTCCCTGAGGTCCAAAAGCTTGGCAACCCCTGGTATAAAGAAGTAAGTAAGAGGAGCTTGCTTAAAAGTGTCAGAGATGTGACAAACTTATAACTTAAGTAAACTTGTATGCTTTTCTCTGTTCATTCTGAGGCAGGTCATCAAGTTGTTTTGTTATTTGACATCGTCCTGTCATGCTCATGGTATATATAATTTATCCTACCTTTAAAAAAGATCAATTCTTAATCACATCAAGAGACCATGCTTTCATCTGTAAAGATACATTGCAATTTCTTTAAACAAAAGTATTTTACCCACTTTAATTAAATTTTAATTTAACCATCAGGCAAAGCATGCTATAACTCAGTCTTATAAAATAGAACTCAGTCTTATAAAATAAAACTATTCATTGTAAATAAAACAACCAAACAAATTTAAAACCTTATTTTTAATAGGCTGCAGATTGAAAAAAATCTGGGGTTTATTTTTGAGACTGACCCTCTGTTTATGAATGTTTATGAATATGTGCTGTTTATAGTAGACAGACTAACACTAATACAGCATTGCAAATATTAATGGGAGAGGTTGCTACTGGAAGAGATGGTGCCGTTATATAAAAGAATTGTATGGAAAGATCATAACGTCTTAGAACTACAGCCAGACATTTTAGAGGTCTAGGGAAAATCAGGAGGACACTGCATATGCAAACTACCAGCCTGTTAATGAAATACCAGAAGAATTGTTTAAAATGTTACAAGATGCTGTGTGTGGTTTTGTAAGCTTGCATAGAAAATGCAAAGGACTGAAAAAGATTGCTTCATACTAATTTCTAATATCAAAAAAAGGTTGTGTTAAAAAATGTTCAAACTACCGGTATTGAACATTTGCACTTCTCTTGCATGCTTCTAAAAATAATCCTCAAGATTTTGCGATCCAAATTTCAACAATACATGGGATGAAAATTACCAGGTTATCCATTGAATTCAGAAGAGGCAGAGGCATAAGAAGATCCTATTGCTAATACTCAACTGATCATAGAAAGAGCAAGAAGGTTTCAAAAGGATGTCTATTTCTGCTTAATTGGTTATGCAAAGGCTTTTGACTG